GAATCGAAATTTACATAAACTCACACCTATTTACGGAGACATAATTTGAAAACATTTTCAATAATTTTTTTACTAAATCCGGGGAAATTTTTTACATTTTGGAATTTTCTGGGATTTTTGAAATTTGTATCCAAATGAATCAAAATTCACACATATTTACGGACACATAATTTGGAAACATTTTGAAATATTGTTTTACTAAATCTGGGGAAATTTTTTACATTTGGGGATTTTCTGGGATTTTTAAAATAGGGATCCAAATGAATCGAAATTTACACATATATACGAAAAAATAATTTGGAAACATTTGAAATATTTTTTTTATTAAATCCGGGGAAAAGTTTTACATTTTGGGGATTTTCTGGGATTTTTTAAAAATGTATCCCAGTGAATCGAAATTCGTATGAGAAGCGTTTAACATGTTTTTTGAGGATATTTACGGATTTCATTTATTTACATTTACCATAAAATCAAGCTTTTCTGTAAAGTAAATAATAAAGCAAAGTCATGAAGCGAAGATTTTATTATGTTTTGAGCTGGGGACCATTAAAAATGCAATTTTGAGCCCCAATTTTATTACTCTCATTGCATTGCAGTATTGATTTTTAGTCAATTACTGTTCTGGGGATAATTTTCTTAAATGTGGGGATTTTCTGGGATTATTTAAAATAGAAAGAATGTGTCATTATATAATCGAAAATCGTATAAGAACTTAAAAATTATTATTATTGAGGTTTTACATTATTGCTAATAATCGTATGCCATTTTAAGGCATTTTTCTAAATGTTGGGGATTTTCTGGGATTTTGTTTTAAATTGTTAAGAAAAACGGGGATTTGTGGGGAATATACAGGGGGGGTCCATTCTACAATAAATTCGTTTTCTTATTTTAAATCCTTTTGAGGAATTGGGGAACATATTCAAAAATGTTATTTATTAAATCTGGGGAAATTTTTTACATATGGGGATTTTCTGGGATTTTTTAAAATTGTATCCCAGTGAAGCGAAATTCGAATAAATTCGCAAATAAATTTACGGAAACATAATTTTGAAACATTTTCAACGATTTTTTTGTAAATCTGGGGAAAATTTTTACATTTGGGGATTTTCTGGGATTATTAAAAAAATCGGAAAAAATGCATTATGATGCATCGAATATCGCCTAGAAGGCCAATAAATGTGTATTTATAGACAAATACTGTTCTATAGCAATTTTTGTAAACATGGACATTTTCTGGGATTATTCAGGGGCATTAATTTTACATTTTGGGGATTTTCTGGGATTATTGAAAAATCGGATTATTAAAGCAATAGACGCATAATAGTGCATCCAAAAATCTCCTAGAATTTCGATCAATGTTGATTTTTAATCAAATAGTGTTCTGGGGCAATTTATTTTAACTTGGGGATTTTCTGGGATTATTTAAAATAGGAAGTATGTGTCATTATAAAATCGAAAATCGCATAAGAAGTCCAATTAAATAATTACAGAGATTATATTCTATTGATTCCTAGTCGTATACTGTTCTGGGGTGATTTTTTACATTTTGGGGATTTTCTGGGATTAATAAAAATGGGAGGGCCCAACATTTTTGTGCATCGAAAATTGCCCAGAAGGTCCATTGTGCTTTCTAGGTCCACGATCTATGTTGATTTTTAACCGAATTCTGCTCTGGGGACAATTTTATTAAACTTGGGGATTTTTCTGGGATTATTTTAAATTCGAAATATAAGTCATTATATAATCGAAAATTGCATAAAAATCGAATTTAATAATTTTAGACGTCATTATTTTACGGATTATTAGTCATACACTGTTGTGGGGAAAATTTTTTACAATTTGGGGATTTTCTGGGATTATTAAAAAATGGGAAAATTGGTATTATTAAAAAAATTGAAGCATTATGGTACATCGAAAATCGCCTAGAAGGCCGATTAATGTTGATTTCTAATCAAATTCTGTTCTACATCAAATTTTCTTAGATTTGGGGATTTTCTGGGATTACAAAAAAAAATGAAGGTGTATACCAAATTATGATCGGAATTAGCTTAAGAAATCCAATTTAATAATTATAGAGGCCATTATTTAATAGATTACTAGTCGTATACTGCTCTAGGGCATTATTCCCCATTTTGGGGATTTTCTGGTATTATTAAAAAATGCAAAAATTGGATTATTAAAAAATGGGATTGTTAAAAAGTGCATGGAAATCGCTTAGATGACCGATCAATATTGATTTCTCGTGAAATACTGTTCTGGGGGCAATTTTCTACTTTTTGGGGATTTTCTGGGATTATTTAAAATAGGATGTATGAGTCATTATATTGTTGAAAATCGCATAAGAAATTCATTTAATAATTTTAGAGGTCATTATTTTACTGATTATTAGGCATACACTGTTCTGGGGACAATTATTTCCATTTTGGGGATTTTCTGGGATTATTAAAAAATGGAAAAAATGGAATTATTAAAGCAATTGAAGCGTTATAGTACATCGAAAATCCCTTAGAAGACCGATCAATGGTGATTTCCAATCAAATTCTGGTCTAAAGCAAATTTTCTTAAATTTGGGGATTTTCTGGGATTATTAAAAAATGGTGGTGTATGCCATAATATGATCGAAATTAGCTTAAGAAATCCAATTTAATAATTATAGAGGCCATTATTTTATGATTACAGGACACATACTATTCTGGGACATGAATTTTACATATTGGGGATTTTCTGGGATTATTGAAAAATGGGATTATTAAAGCAACGGAAGCATTATAGTGTCTAAAAAATCTCCTAGAATACCGATCAATATTGATTTCTGGTCAAATATGGTTCTGAAAAAAATTTCCTAACATTGGGGATTTTCTGGGATTATTTAAAAATAAAATTACCAGCCATTTTATAATGGGAAATCGTATATGAATCCCATTCTCATCAATATAGATGTCATTATTTTATTGATTTCCAGTCATATTCCGTTCTGGGGACATTTTTTACATTTTGGGGATTTTTCTGGGATTATTAAAAAATAGAAAAAATTATATTATTAAAGCAATGGAAACATTACAGTGCCTCAAAAATTGCATAGAAGGCCGATCAATTCTGATTTCTTATCAAATTCTGTTCTAGATCAATTTTTCTTAACATTGGGGATTTTCTGGGATTATTTAAAAATAAAATTACGACCCATTATATTATGGGAAATCGTATAGGAATCCCATTCTCATTATTATAGTTGCCATTATTTTATGGATAATGAGTCATATACCGTTCTGGGGACATTTTTTACAATTTGGGGATTTTCTGGGATTATTGAAAAATTGAAAAACGGGATTATTAAAGCAAAATTATATGCCTCAAAAATCGACTTCAAGGACGATCTATACTGATTTCTAGTCAAATTCTGCTCTAGAACTATTTTTCTAAATCTTGGGGATTTTCTGGGATTATTTAAAAATAAAATTACCGGCCATTTTATAATGGGAAATCGTATAGAAATCCCATTCTCATCATTATAGATGTCATTATTTTAGTGATTACAAGTCATATACCGTTCCGGGGCAAATTTTTTACATTTTGGGGATTTTCTGGGATTATTAAAAATGGAAAAAATATAGAGTTTTAGTGCTTTACAAATCACGTAATAATACCAGAATTAAATTTTCTATGTAAATTTAAGGTCTTTAGCCCAAAATGTAGCATTTCCGCAAAGTAACAAATGAAGCCAAGCCGCAAAGCTTTTATTATGTTTTCAATGTATCTGTCTCGAAATTCTTCCCCGAACCCCGATATTTTAGTATATGAAAATATTGCTTTGCTGATTTCCTGTTTTACTCTAGTCTAAGGCAATTTTGTGCAATCAGGGGATTTTCTGGGATTATTGAAAATTTGAATTGCGCACCCTTATAGTACATCGATAAGTGACGCTTAATATTTATTAAGCATATTTAAGTATTTCTAGGCCGAAAATGTTGAAGTTCTTCAAAAAAAAAAAAAAGAGGTAAGCCATGCGGCAAAGATTTTATTCTGTCTGGGGAATTTAAAAAAACTCACCACGGTTTAGGTGCAGCATTTCTGCAAAGTAACAATTATAGGCAAGCCACAAAGTTTTTATTATGTTTTCAACGTATCTGTATCGCAATTAGTATCTGTATCGCAATTATTGCTTTGCTAATTTCTTGTTTTACCCTGTTCTAGGGCAATTTCCTGCAATTAGGGGATTTTCTGGGATTATTGAAAATTTGAAATACGCACCCTTACAGTACATCGATAAGTGACGCTTAATATTTATTATGCATATTTAAGAGTTTGTAAGCCGAAAATGAAGACTTTCTTAAAAAAAAGTTACGCCAAGCCGCAAAGATTGTATTCTGTCTGGGGAATTTAAAGAAACTCACAACGGGTCTCGGTGGAATTCAATGAGATTAATAAGAATCTTAAATCTTCTTTGGAACCTAATTGAATTATTTTTGAAGATTTCTCTTTTTTACACAGTTTTGGGGCAATTTTCAAAAATTTTGGGGATTTTTTAAAAACGGAAGTTTGCACCCGATAATTGCCGCATAATATTTATTATGCATTTCTAGACCTAAAATGAATCATTTCAGAAGCTAAGTTAGTAAAGAGTTAAGTCAAGCCATAAAGCGAAGATTTTATTCTGTCTGGGGTATTTAAAGTCCCGATGAAGTTCGTTGAGATTGGATGGGAATCTTAAATTTTTTAGAACACTATTTGATTATTTTTTAAAGCAATTTCTTCATTGACTTCTAGGCATGAAATATAAAATAAAGCTAAACACAAAGATTTCATTGTGTTTTGGTAAAATCCCCAAAACACAATGAAATCTTTGCGCTTAATTAATTCTAATATTAATGTTTGATTATTTTTGAAGGCAATTCCTTCATTGACTTCTTTGCGTGGAATCAAAAATAAAGCTTCATGAAAAGATTTCATTGTGTTTTGGGGAATTATAATTAATTTTTGATTTTCTCTCCACTCTTTTTCAGAATACCGAAACGGCCACAAATGCTTACCAGCATCATCACAATACCCGGGCAGCTGAGAATTTTTTCAATGTTCCAGATTCGATATCCCTAATAAATATTGTAAAGCCGGAGAGATTACAGAACAATGCCATGAACCACTCTGCAGAAGATGAAAATCAACAAAATAATTCCGAAACTGTGAGTTCAAATGTCACAATAAATATATTTTTTTTTTTCAAATACTAATCACAACCCCGCTCTCTCCCTTTCAGGAAACAAAAACCTCCATAAATTCCTATCACCATCATCGGGCGCCACGCACCCCCGAAAGTTATTTCAATGTTCCCGAATCCATTGCCCTGCTAAATATTGTCAAATCCGAACGGATACAAAGTGCATTTCAATCGAATCGTAAAAATCATGCCAGTGTCTGGGAAATGGTTGCCGAAGTCCTAAATCGTTATAGTGCCCGTAAGCGATCGGCCAAACAGTGTTGTAATCGTTATGAGAATCTAAAGAAAATCTATACCCAGCTGAAAAAGAATCCCGAACGTCATGTACGTCGCAATTGGCCATATATGTTTCTGTTTAAGGAAATCGAAGAACAGCGGGGTGAATGTTGGGGTTCGAACAGTAAACGGATTGCGTTGTTGGCCAAAAATCAAGATGAATTATCGTATTATCATCGGAGACGCCAGGCAGCAGAGTTTGGCGCCTTGTTGGATAAACAAACTCAGGCGGCAGTGGTGGCCCAACATAATCTCCTACAAAGTCTGGCAGCTGTTCATTCCAATGATTCGAACTCGAATTCGAAATTGGAACGTTTCCTACCCAATCATTTTGTCGAGGCTCAATTGGGTAATGATAGCAGCTGCAACAACAACACCATGAATGGTAGTGGCGGGGACAGAGGTGGCAGTAGTAATGGTACTGGTGGTAGCGCCGATATTAACGGTACCAATGGCAGTGTCTATGATGAATCTCCCTCACCTCTACCCCTGCAAATGTCACGCAAAGATCCCCACGATGTTTCACATAACATCTCAGCTGATTTACCCGAAAATGCTGCCCATAATCTCCTGCAAGCTCATCTAAGTGGTGGTGTGGCAGCAGCGGCTGTTGCTGCCGCCGCTGCCAATAACCTAAAAGAGGCTCTGGCTCAACAATATGAAAAAGACTGCAACGGGGCACTGAATCTGCAGACCAGTGATAACAACAATGTCTCAATGAAGTAAGTATTTGTGTGTGTGTGCGTGTTTATTTGGAGCGTTGAGCGGAAAATTAATGGAACTAATTGTAAAAAGTGATGATTGTGATTCTTCTTACAGATCGGAACCAATGTCGGATGGTGAATTTAATCCCGATGATATACAGCTGATGCAAACGAATTATAATGGGTAAGTTTATAGTAAAAAAATAAAAAATAGTATTAAAATTTTGGAAAATCGCCTAAAAATTTCGAATAGCTACCGCTTAGGTACCCCTAAATATTCGGTATTTTGGCGATTTTTGGCACTTTTTTAACCAAATTGGCTGTAACTTGGTATATTGAGTTCTCAGAGGGTAGGAAATCTCCCTACCAAAAATTATCGATATCGGTCCATGTATTGGTATAGCCGAAATTATTCGGTATTTCGGTGATCTTGGGGACATTTTTTAACCGAATTGGCTGTAATTTGGTATTTCGAATTAGAATTGGATGACACATAACGATCCCTGAAAGGTCTTCAATCAAATTGGTTGTAATTCAGTATTTTGAATTCTCGGAATCTCCCTACCAAAAATTATGGATATCGGTTTACTTTTCAGCATGGCTCCCATATAACCGTACTACCCATTATTCGGTATTTTGCACAGTTTTTCCACGTTCCTCAACCGAATTGGCTGTAATTTGGTACGATGACTTCCCATTGGGTAGCAAATCTCACCACCAAAAATGATCCAATTCGGCCTACTTTTTAGGATAGCCTTCATATAGCGATACTTCCCATTATTCGGTATTTTGGGAATCAACCGAATTGACTGTGATTTGGCACGTTCTTAACAAAAAACCGACATTTTGCCCCCATATAACACTTCCCTGTGATTTGTGTTTTTCAACCTAATTGGTTGTAATTTGGTATTTTGAATTCTCATTGGGTAGTCTCCCTACCAAAAATTATGGATATCGGTCCACTTTTGAGGATCGGCCCCACATAACAAAAATTCGGTATTTTTCGGAAATCGGTCTTCAACCATTTTAGCAAATCTTTCTACCAAAAATTATTGATATCGGTCCACTTTTGAGGATAGTCCCCATATAACGCTCCCCGAAATATTCGGTATTTTGGGGAATTTTGGGCACAACCGAATTGATTCTAATTTAGTATTTCGAATTAT